TGTTCTGACATAACCTGACCTAACCTAACCTAACCTAACCTAACCTAACCTGACCTGAACCTGACCTACCTGACATAACCTAACCTAACCTAACCTAACCTAACCTAACCTAACCTAACCTAACCTAACCTAACCTAACCTAACCTAACCTAACCTAACCTAACCTAACCTAACCTAACCTAACCTAACCTAACCTAAGCTAACCTAGCCTAATAACTTATCCTAACCAAAACTAACCTAATCAACCTTACTTTTATGCAACATTTTGGAAAACCCGCCTTCGCATGTTGAATGGAACATTTGAACATCTTGGTAATCATTTAAACATTGTGAACATCTTGCTAATCATTTAAACAATTTTCCATCTCCGCACATGTGACTCTGTTACAGATCACTGTTCGCACACTTGTTTGTGCAATGGGCCATGCTGGCATTACGTACAGGCAAAGCAAACTGAACAGAAAAGCAGAATAAACGCATATGCTCAATTCATTCAACCATTGTTAGGTTTACAACGATGGTACGAATAAGTTACTAACGCCATGATAACGATGTTTAGGGTAGGTAGTGAGTGAGTTAATGCAAGGTAAAGCTGGTACGCTCAGGATAGAATATTCTGTAGCAGTAGAACCAAATATCTTCATTTAAATTACGTGGTGCTTACATCTACCATGATGGTGGTAGTGGGAACATGTTGCATTGGTATGTTGGTTGGGTAAGAATGTTGGCGGTAGATATCATCGTTTGCAATTATCACAACGCACAGCGTGAGCTTTGACGAGCAGTGCTTTGGTGGAACATGTGCTTCGCTAAACCAGCTGATATGACGATAGTGTGTACCTGCCTCATAAACGCAATCTTGGACGGAACAAGCGTTCAAATAAACTATGCTTTACAAGGCCATAGAACCCTTCGAACAGTCGCTACGCTATACGCCACAAGGAAAAATTCAAACGCATAGTGAAACGTTTCGTTAAAATGCTGTGAGAAAGGCCACATCATTGTTAGCACTTCTCCCTAAATGGACGGCTTCAAGCTCTCGCACCATTTGTTCCGTATGAGTTTTAGCGAATTGGTGTACTGAAGACATCGCATAACGCACGTTGAGAAAAGCCAGACAAAAAACTTATTTAAATACATTTCCGAGTTTTCCAGAAGAATTTTGAGAAATTGGTATCATCGATAAAATCGGAATCCTGCGATCTAATCATGCACGCAAAAAATTAAAGTGTGAAAAATCCAAAAAGCTGGCTACTCCCTTTCATGCAAGTTTTGAACGCGAATCACGATTTGTGCCATGCCACATCATACAGGAATTTGGGCGGTGCTTCTAGTGGTGAATGAAAGAACACTAAGAATCGAATAACATAAGACTAGTGTCATATCAGGGTATGTTGATGCAAGTTGAAAACTTACAAGAAACGATGACAAACAAACAAAAACATCACGAGAAAGTGCCAAAACACAAGTATATAACGACATTTGGGTTCAGAAAAACCCTCCCCCACCTCTTGACGATTTTTTTTGCTTCAAATGAGTCAGCCCGTCCACTACAGCAGCAGTTCTTACCAGTACAGCAGCAGTTATGACACGATTAGCCTGGCAGCGACTCTAACATCATAAAGATGTTCTATAATATCATCAAACGATGACGTGTTTAAGAACATATTTACTAAATACATAAGTTGTGTTATCTAAAGCAGCCTTTCTCACTGAAAGGCAAATAAATAGTCACAAGTGAGTTCCCTCCATCATATCTGAAGCTAACCTCAAATTCTTCTCATGTGGAATATCCCTTTTAAAGATGGTGTTCCACATTTGTATTGGGTTTTGAACTGAAATAGCCATCTTGAAGATCATTCAGTGCATTTCGCAGCCGTCCCTTTCTTGAGGCCCAAACGCCTGTAGTCTCTGAGCCACACACCCGCAAAGATGTGCAGACTATTTCGGAAAGACTACTTCAAGGTCACTCAGGCAGCGATGACACCATAATAAAAAATCCTGTCATTCCACCAGCCATGCGACGGTCAATGCGAATAAAAATGCAATTGTCGAGTCGTTCATACCTGGCGTTCGTGGGCACAATTCCCAGACATAACGGTCGTCAATTGGCTCTAAATCAATGTTGTGCAAGGCATGATAACGTAATCAAACAACGAGGTCTTTAGGGAGCATATTTGCCAGACAGAAAATTCGTATTGTCTAGAGCAGTCTTTTCACTTAAAAGTATACCCATGTTTAGAACTGAGCTTATTTCATCATATCTGATACTTGCCTCAATATCTTAAAATGTGGAACATTTCCTTTACGTTAACGGACCAACCTAACGCTCGGTGATTCTCAACATCGACGCACCATTATTTCGCATCAGCCGGGTTGGCCAGGGTAACAAAAGCGCTCACAGCATGAACAGCGCTCTGCCATCGGCAGCTTGACCATGGACAGGTGCGCATCAACTGCCGCGCGGAGCGTGGCCATGGCAAGATGACGTCACACCTGGTCGGGCGCGCGACCTTGGCTGGCAACGCTCTCGCGCTCGCCCGACGCAACGGCTCGCCCAAAGGTCACACCTCCATCCGGTGAATGTTCAGAGCCGCGACCGTGTCCCTGGCCGCCTGGCCGCTCCCGGGCCTGCATACGACCGGTCGATGCTGCCGGGTCCCGGAAGACAAACTCACAGCGCCCGACATAAACCTGCTTTCGCGGCCGGTCGAGACACAGCTTGTCTTGTGCCCCCGTACGAGATAGGCCGTCACCCGCCGTAGAATAAGATTGATACGGCTAGGTGAACGGACTTACGCATAGTTGTCCTTTCTATGATTTGAATCAACGGCGAAAAAACGAAGATGAGAGCTGAGCGGGGAGTCACTAAATACGTTCTGAGGAGCCTGAGCGCCCCCCCCCCCCCCCCCCCCCTCCCTTCCATCCCCTAATGACCCTCTGAGCCTCCTCAATGCATATGAGCATTTTTATGCGCGGGAACGTCGCAGGAAGCAGGAAAACGTTGAGCGAACGTCGCAGGAAGTGGGAAAACGTTGCGGGAACGTCGCAGGAAGCAGGAAAGCGTTGCGGAAACATCTAAGGAAAACCAGAACTAGCCAACTAGCTTGTCCTCAAATGACCTAAAACCATTAGGACACAGCTTACGCGAATTACGCTTCTCGTCGCTAGTTTCTGCATGGCGGGACCACCACTGACTGGAGCTACCATATGAGCCTGTTACAAGCGCGGCTGGTCGGGCTGGGCCGATGGCGTTCTACCACTTTCGGTTAGTTGGGGTTGAGACGAGGTCAATCTGTGCCCTCATTCGTGATGAACAGAAACATTCACTTTGGCACCGCAATGTGATGAAAAGGCGGACGAAGAGAGACTGGCCGACTGCGCCACAGTCATTAGCGAACCCGCTCAGCTCATGCCCACTGCAATCCAGCCAACCCTCGACCCAGAGCGTGTCACTGGCACACAGTGACAGGCAACAGTAGCCCGTTACTGACCCAACAGATACCCGCCGTCGGAGTGGCATCCTTGTACGCGAACGTACCTGCAACAATCTTAGACACATGGCGATGAATGAAAAAATAACCTCCAGAATTCACAATTACCTTACAGGTACCAAATTGACTTAATGAAGTGTCGTCCCCATCCTGCCGCTCTGGTCGTGGAGCGCTCACACCCATTATCAACCCAACCGTGCCCCAAATGCCAGTTGGTCCGTTTTATCTGGAGTCACGTGCTCCGCCGTAACGCCGTCACCCGGCGGCGACC